AAAAGAAAATATGGAGATTTCTTTAAAAAAAAAAACAAAAACAAAAAACCTAGAAATGGAGTTGCCATATCATCCAGCAATCCCCTAGTGAGGATATACCCAAAAGATACGAGTTCATTGTGTCTAAGAGATATCTGTTCTACCATGTTTATTGCAGTACTCTTCACAATAGCCAAATATGGAATCAACCAAGGTGCCCATGATAGATGCATGAATAAAGAAAATGTGGTATACTACTCAGTTATAACAAAGAATGAATCCTATTATTTACAGCAAAATGGTTTGAACTGGAGGACATGATAGTGAGTGAAATAAGCCATACACAGAAATACAAATACTACAAGCTCTCTCGTGAGTGCAAGTTAAAATGCATAAAAATCCTTTAAAAATAATTCTTAGAACTCAGCAACAATGAGGTATCACCTCACACCCATTAGGATGGCTACCATCAAAATAAACCAAAAAACAGAAAATTACCAGTGTTGGCAAGAATGCTGGGAAACTGGAACACATCTATATCCTAGGAGAGTATATAAAATAGCGCACTCCCAAAGGACAAATACCATATGATCTGTGGTAACTAACAGAGTACCACAATACGTAATATGTATGAGTGAAATTGACATTTTGAGATTCAATGATTTTTTATAGCTCTCGTATCTACAGTTGAGGAACAGTGCTTTTTCTTCTCACTGTTTGAATTCTTTACTTGGTGCAGGGTTAATCTTATGAGTATAAAATAAACCGAAAGCAGATCGTTGCAAAAATTAAAGAAATAAGAAAAGAAGGATGGGGAAGGGAGGGCTCCTAAATATGTATATATAAGTTTGTTTAACTTAAAATAAAAGAAAATGGTGCAGTTGCTATGAAGAACAACTGATTCTTTAAAGAATATAGAATTACTATGTGGTTTAGCATTTCCCCTTCTGAGTGTATACACACAATAAATGAATTCAATGTTTTCATAAGCTATGCATACACTCATGTTCATAGCAACATTGTTCACAGTATCCTAGAGGTAGAAGCAAGCCAAGCATCTACCAACAGATAAATGGGAAGATGAAGTACAATAGGACATTATTTAGCCTTAAAATGGAAAGAAATTCTGATACATGCCGCAGCATGAGTGAACCTGCTGAAGAACAGGAGTTTGCTTGGACAGTCAACAACTTTATGTATTACTTCACTTTTGAATAAGCATTGTCTGCACCTTACATAAGTACTCATTTAAAAAACAGAATAAAAGCACGTTTTATGAACGGTTATGAATTCTGGGGAGGTATTAAAAAAAGGAATAAGTGAATGAATAAAGCTTTTTTACTTTCTGATTCTAGATATACAATCATCAAATTAGCCAGGGAAAATGAACTGTTGGATCATCCTAGGCTATGTGAAGCTTCCTGATTTTGAAGTATTATTTTTATTGAAGATGAGCCAAGGCATTGGTTTTTACAAAAAGGTCGGGGCAAACTGCAACTGTCCAGGTCTGACAGCTCCTTTGGTTCACAGCTCCAATGCAGGGGTCCTGGCAGAGGCACCCTGGGTGCAATTCTTACATATAGTTTGATGTTACTGATGAATATCCAAAACCCCTTTAGATATTTCAAGAAAACTAAAACTCAATCTTTTATGAAGGTAAGGTAAGTCAATGCTTTAGATTATAATATGGCTGCCTGGCTACTTTCTGCCTCATATGCTGATGGCAAAGTGCAAACCCTGTTTGAAAGGCAGTCTCAACCTTCCATCTGCAGGAGCCTCCATTATGCTGCCGCTGGGATCCAGATTCTTCTTCCAGATGAATTACATCATAGGATTTGAAATGATGCTACAGGATACAAGAAACAGCTCTGGAGCTAACCTGCTCTGGCAGAAGGTCAGAACACAGGATGTGCTCCCTCCCCGGTGCTCAACTCTCCAGAAAAAAGTGGTTGAGGGGCAGAAAAACACCTGTAGTAAGCATCTCACTAGCTGTACCTGGGCATCTGCTTGATTGTCATAGATTGGGGGTTATAGCAATTTGACTCCAAAGGTGGTGAGGTTTTAGTACCGTCCACTAAAGAATGAGCTACAGTCATAGAAAATAATGGCAGTGAAGCCGTAGAGGTGAAGTTTTGCTGTTGCTTTGAGAAGGTTTTCATGTTCGGCAAAAACATTTCAGTTACTGAAATTTATATCTGGTTTGCCTCTTTAGAAAAAGAGCTCTCTCTGCAAGAATCATGTGTTGTGACTCTCCCAATGAAGGACTTCCCAATGGCAAATAATAACAGCTACACTAACAGTTAAGCAGGAAATGATTTTTATTGTGGTATATGGGCTGAGTATTGGAGGATGTTGTATTTTACCTCAGCAAGGGACAAAGATTGAACTGGTCCCTGATCTTCAGAACACAAGGGCATTTCCAAGAGACCAACTTCAAAAAACATCTGTGTAATTAACCAGCTCAACAGAACACCACCAAGCTCATGGGCACTTTGTGCTTTGACATCTGAAAAATTCAGCCTTTTTCATCAAACTCAATTCAGAACACTCAGGCACAGCTCTGCACTTTGGATCTTCTGTGTCAAACTCTATTTTCAATCCTTTATGTCAAATTTAAATTCATGGCAACTGCATTCCGATCTTGATAGAATCCCCAATTTGCCCTGGACCCCAAATCCATTCCACGAGAAACACACAGCCATCAGCAAACACACACTCGAACTTGATTTGCTCTCACTTAAGCTAAACTACAGTCAAGAATTTTCAATGTTTGCCTGTTGACCAGAGCTTTAACACACTTTCAGATGAACATCCACCGAAAACAAGGGTATTGCAAAATTGGGTCTTCACCCCTCAGCAGAAGAAATTTTATCAGTGCGGCTCTTGTTGGGATGAAAATAAACCTTCAGATTTCCTGTGGCTTTTCTTCTGTTACTGAAGCTTAAATCAGTCTTAAGTGAGCTGAACAAATGGGTGTGAGTGACGAAAAATGGATAAATTTGATGCTGAATACACAGATCTGTTGTTTCCACCAAAATGAGGTCTTGATTAGGCATAAGGCCAACAATAATACCATATCAACAAGTGAACAAACTGATATACTATCCAAATGAAAAGAAATCACTCACCATGTTATCACTACGAAAACATTCTAGATGGCCCTGACAGAAGAACTGACCTCTTTTATGAAAATCATCCTTGCTTAGATATCCATATATGCATAGAAGGATGTAGTTTTTAAAAGCTCATTTTCTCCCTAATAATTGTCTGTTTTTAAAAAGCTATCAGCAGGTGCACCTCATTTCAAAAGGCTCTTGTCCTTCAAAATACAATATTCATCACGATTACATAGTATGAAATAAAATGCAGCAAAACATAAGCGAGGGTAGTTCAATTAAATACAACATAATCTCTGCAGCAAAAAAAAAAAAATACGGCTCTGTAGCTGAAATCAGGTTCCAATGAAAGAAAAAAGGGAATATATTTCCACATATTTTTAATTATATAGAATTTCTTCAAACATGATTTTTCATAATATATTCCATTAAGTTAACATCATATTTGAAGAAAGAGCATTTTCCGATTTCATTTTAAGCCTGATTTTGAGCAATTACAGTGTCATTGTTCCGCGGTAGAAAGGTTGAATTCATTTACTGTGTGGTTATGCTAGTTATGATTGATGTCTCTTCTCCAAATGATAAACCAATCACCCCAATGATGTAATGTCATTTTAAGAGTGCCATAATCACATTTCTCTCAAACTAGGAGCTCTGATGAGTTCTAATAAAGATTTATGGTAGATTAAAGGCCTTCATAATATCAACAATGGATTGCTCATTTGATGAGAGATTTGATTAGGTAATTTTTTTGGAAAAAGAATATGAGTTTACTAAATATATCAGGCCTGGCTTTGAAGAAGGGCATGGGCCATTCTAAGTAGCAGTCCATCATCCCATCCCCAGAATGAATCATCTTAACTGTATTTGGGAGGTCCTCTCTGACTGTCAAGGTTGAGGCCAGTGGTGGCATACATTCACGGATGGAGCCAAAGCACATTCTCATCCAAAGACACTCTTGCCTTGGGGAGCTCTGGATTGCTTCTGACAGGATATGTTAATGAACATCAGAGAGGCCAATTTAGAAGGTAACTCCAAAGCCTTTTGGTCAGGAGCAATTAATTTCTGCCAACATCTCTTCTTAGGCTATGGACACTCAAACGCGAGATACTATCCACTCCTCTGTTCCTATGTCCACGTGAATGTATTATCCACAGGAGAAACCAACAATCAGGCATGATAATTGTTGAACTCAGCGTAATTCCTCCTAATCTTTAGAGATGGGGAGTTGAAACAGTAACTATAAAATCCTCAGAAATCCTCTCTGTTATGTGAATGTGAAAACCAAAGTGACACCGATGGAGTTAGAGGCAGTATTTACCACAGTACCACATGGCCAGCTAGTTAAATTCAAGTGGAGTGGTTCATGGAGAGGGTTATAACAGAGGTCACCCCCCAAACACTTCAGATGTGACGAGACATTCCGTATTCATGCCAAGGGAACACATCTTAATCACAATATCACCTAAAGCAAGCAAGGGAGAAGAAGTCAGAAGCCAACTATCAAAAAACAAGGGATCTGAGACGCACACAAATTGGGTGTATGAGGGCATCCACGGTCACTCGGTTATGACCAGAATGGTAGTAACACAGAATTCAATATTCCAGTGTCTCACCGCACTTCACCTTCGAGACCAGTATGTGTTCACATGTAGGAGTGGCCAAAAATACCTTCCACCGAAGGAGGCCCAAACCCCATGAAGATGAGCAAAACCTCTCCAGTCACTGTGACCTTCATCAATGCGTTTGGGAACTACCATGTTACAAAATGACAAATGCATTCCACCTCATGCCCCCCAAACCACCTTTGCCCGAGACCTTGTTTGAGCATTGTCATTTTGCTGGAGAATCAAGAGTGTCACACACAAAACACCACATAATTCAGACACCACAGAGATTCCTTACCACTGCTGGAGGCTTGCTGGGGCCCTGAGCATGCTCTGAGCAGGTATGAATTGGGGGAGAATTCCTCATCGGGGTTGGTATCCATGATTTGATGGGAGGTGTTGCTGTCTAGCAATGGCATCTGGCAGCTAACTGGTGGAGGATTATGGGAGCTAGGCAGCTGAGCAGATGGGAGGAGGCTAGACGAGGATGTAGGTGGAATGGGACGACCTGGGAAAGAGGACAGAGGGGTCAAAGGTCAGCAATGAGTGTCATGAGAGCATCCCAAGAAAGTTACATTGAAACCAGCTCATAATACAAATAGTTTACAAAATGAAATGCTCCAGATGTGTTTTATAGAGTGGTTTGATGTTTTTCCAAGAGTACAAAATTCATATTATAGGTAGTTGCACAGTTTTGGAAAAGGGCGTGAGCAGACACATCCATCTACACGGCTGACACGCAAGCAGTCTGGAGAACTCTGCTTCCTTCCACCTCCTCGTCATCTAAGTCCTCACCATCTCTCCCTGCTGGTCTTCCTGCTTCTACTCCAGCCACACAACCTATCTGATGCTCCTTTTCCACAGCAACAAGGAGTATATTTTAGAGAGAAATCAGGTCATATCACTCACCTGCGTAGCACCTTCCAATGGCTTTCCATTGCATAAAGAGCAAAATTCAAACTCATTACAATGCCCTACAAGTCCTGCCTACTCAGTCTCCTCCTAGCTGCCTCTCTAGCATCACTTCCCACAGTGACATTTACAACTATGCACTTGGCCCATTTATTCTACAACCAACCTGATCACCTTAATTTCTACAGCTTGAACATGCCAAGTCATTCCACCTTGAAGGTCTTTGAAGCTCACAGCCCTCTTTGTGGGATATTTCCCACTGCCCCCCAAATGGAAACATTCACAAGCTTGCTTCTTTCCTTCAATCAGGTTTTCCATGTTTGCCTTCTTGAACATTGTCCACTGCCTACTTGATCTAGCTTATTCTCCTATTTAAATTTCTTCATAGCCATTATCAAGATTTGAAGGTAAGAATCTTATCTATTTATTCATTCATGTATACCTAATGTCATCCTAGAAGTTTATGGAATAATGCACAAATAATGCAGACTAAAAAATCCATTAGTTTGGGGTAGAAGAGCAGGAAAGGTGGAAAGGGTAACATTCACACCCCAAAAAGCTGGCCAGTTCTCCAACTCTTTCCAGCACATGGTGCTTTAAGACACCATGGAGAAACACAACAACAAACACAGCCACTCTGGGCCATGAGAAGGAGCAGCCAGTCTGACAGAAGTCAGGCAGTGACCTGGAGTTGCCCTCAGGTCCAAAAGATCGTCTCCCACATGGAAGGCGGTTGCAACCCCTCTTGCAGGTGGCAGGGAGCCGCTGGCAGTCTAACTGCTGAGTGAAGATCGTGAGCATGTGCACTTTCACCTGCTTCACCCTGACATCTCGGGGTCTCTGCAGTTGCTTGCCTGATAGTTTGTTCACTTGAGGAAGAGATAAAAATGAGCCAAGAGTAGCAGCCTCCAGGATCTGCCCTAAAGCTGGAAACATGGAGGGAAGGGAGAATACTAAGAAGGCAAACTGGAGAGTCAGGTTAGCATTGTAACTCAGGTAGGGAGAAATGTGCTTTCTTGCCTTTAGAAAATTACACACAGAAACATATTTTCACAAACCTCAAGCAGATGCCAATGTTGCTAGTCATTTTTACGATTATACTTTTGGATTTCTTTATCGATGCCTTGAATGTTATTAATGGCTAAGTTTGGTTCAATAAAATACACGTGCTCATTGCTAGACACTGAACATATAAAAATAAGTGAGACACACCATTGCTGTTCTGAGAGCTCACAGTACAGTGGGGAGGCAGATAGACAAATGTGTTGCTTCAGGAGCAGAGGATAAAACCGTGAGATGGTGGCAGGAAATGACGTGGTGCTGTAGGGACAGAGTAAAAGGGATGCTTGGTCCAGCCTGGCCAGGTAGGGGTAGGGACACTCAAAAAAGGATAACAAGGAAAGCAACACTGGAAGCAACCTCCAAAAAGAAGATACAGATTTCTGGAGAGAGAAAAACCAAAGAGCTGAGAAGCATCAAACCACAAGCCTGCTATGCTCTCTGAGGCTGGATGTCAGAGAAAGACACAGGAGGCAAGATACCCTTAACACTGAAAGCTATGGGCTGCTGCTCAGTACATCCTGAAATGAAGATGAATCATCCCTGAAATAGATCAACAGATAAATGGAGTTGGATTTGAAAAATCCAATTCATTCATAGCTGTCTGGGAGCCACATGAGGCATGAGATTCTTGCCAGGAGCTCTGGCAAGGGTGCCGTGGACATATCAGAGAGTCGTCAGAACCAGTGCTAATGCTTGAACAATTTAATTTGCCATAAGTCTCCTTGCAGAAATGCTATTGTTAATATTTACTACTGTTAATAATCACACTGCATGGTAACTACCCACCACTGATAGTGCTTGCTCCCTGCAGGGTGCAGAACCCTGTTTCTGCCAAGGGCCATTTGGATATTCCTAACATCATTCACAAGCCATACAAAATTATCATCTCAAAAATTAGCCTGGTATACATTTATTGAATTTTGAGCCCGTCCTTCAGTTGCCTTGGCAGGGCCAGACCAGATGATTTTGCAGGCCTTATATGGTCTATGCACCAGATGTTCTCAATCCTTGCTCCAGCCACCATCTCCTTTGGTCCTCAGGACAATCTTTGGAGATTAGAGTTTCCAAAGAGTCGCATAAAATGAAATAACAACATATTCCTGCTTCAGAGCTGAGGAAACTGAAGCACAGAGATGCTACACTGCATCATTAACTAAGCAGCAAGGACCAGGTGTCAAACTTGGGTTTGTGTATTCCAAAATCTCCCCTCTAACCACTCTCCATGGTGCTTGCCCAAACAGCAGAGGAACAAAAAAATGATGAAAGTGACATCAAAGTAGCCAGGATATTTATGAGGGATCATGTTTCTAGGTTCCCATCTCCCAATCCCAAGGCACTCTCCAGATTTCAAAAAAGAAACATTTCTTTGAATAACCATTTATAGCACCTGTCATCTTACAGAGTTCAAAGTTTTCTTGTAATTTTGTTAAGAAGTTCAAAGTGGCTGCTTCATAGCAGTGTCGCCCTGTGCCTTTTTCAAGGCTCCTGAACGTGGAGGGGTCCTGCCCAGGCACTGTGAAGTCTGTGTTGACGTCCACTTAGCAGCAAGGCTCTGGGAAGAACAGATTTTAACTCATAATCAATAGGCTTTAAAGTTTGTGTTCTTGAAGCATATCTGAAACTGCACATTGAAGAATAAGGATGGCTGGAAGCCAATTTTTAAATTCTTTTGAGTGACTGAGGTGGAACTGAAGTTCAAGTGCAATTTTCCAGGAGCCTGATATGATAGTTGCTGTGAAATCATTCTTTACATGAACTTTTTGAAATTTTGTTCAGCATGAATTCATTTCATATAGTACAGACAGAACTGCTTTTTAATTTATACAAATACAGACAATGGAAAAGCAGTCATAACACAATGAAAGCGCTGGGGTTACTTCAGTGTATTGAGAATACACATCACAGAACTGTCGGCTTCCTCTTATTCCCTTGCTCCTTTCTTCCCGAGATTTGGTAGCTCCTCCGCGGCTGCTTGCTGGTACATGCCGTTACTTGGGTGATTTCTCAGTCTCTAGATCTGCCCCCAGTCAAGCGGAATGCTGGTCTCTATTTGCTATGTCATTTGCTAATTTTGTTCACTTATGCTGCATTTTTCTCCAACGATTCCAACTGACAGATGCCATCTGTATAGACACAGACAGGTTCCAAAGTACAGGGGAGAAAGCTGGAACTGACACAGGCTCACTCTGCAGCCCAGGATTTCTTACAGAAATACTTAGTGTGGGATGGGCATGCAACCAGGCATTATACACTTACATGGTTTCCACCTTATGTACCATGGAAGCCCCTAGACTATCTCACTATTTGGAAGTTCTCTTTCTGAATAGGTATAGAGACTCTGTCAGCAACTTTACAGAAAATTAGGTGTAAATGATCCATTTAAAAAGCAAAATGAAACACACAAAGGCAGCTATATGCCATTCATTAAATTCATAAAGTCTTCTGGATATGTGAGTATATATATTGTGTATGTGTGTATGATGTGTGTGTGCATGAATATGCATCTGTATATTGTGTGTATGTATGTATGTACACAAGTGTGGGTCTTTGTGTGCATTTTATGTGTGTGGGTGTATATGTATCTGGTGGGTGTATATGTATCTGCATATGTGTTTGTGTGTGCATGTGTATATATATATCATGTGCATGCATGCATGTGTTGTGTACCTGTCTGGGGGTGTGTATGAATATGTGTGTATGGGAATGTACACATGTATGTGTTTACATTGTATATGCATGTCTGCATGTGTGTGAATATTTGCATTTGTATGTTTTCAAAGATCCTTGTGTGTGAATGGATTTCCTATATCTTTTTTTATTTATTTATTTTTGACAGGCAGAGTGGACATTGAGAGAGAGAGACAGAGAGAAAGGTCTTCCTTTGCCGCTGGTTCACCCTCCAATGGCCGCCGCGGCTGGCGCGCTACAGCCGGCGCACCGCGCTGATCCGATGGCAGGAGCCAGGTGCTTCTCCTGGTCTCCCATGAGGGGCAGGGCCCAAGCACTTGGGCCATCCTCCACTGCACTCCCTGGCCACAGCAGAGAGCTGGCCTGGAAGAGGGGCAACCGGGACAGAATCCGGCGCCCCAACCGGGACTAGAACCCGGTGTGCCAGCGCTGCAAGGCAGAGGATTAGCCTAGTGAGCAGCGGCACCGGCTGATTTCCTATATCTTTAAACATGGAGAGACTAGTTCAAGCTTTGTAATTTACCTGCTTACACATGGTAAGGTTTTGTGGTGATTTTAGCTCATGAAAATCTTGTGACTGAAGGACTGATAGCCAGCAAAATCAGCTCCATTTTAACTCTGAAACATCGGCAGTAGCTGTTAGCAACGCTGTGTTGAGAAGGATTCTGAGGAAGCCCTCGATCCAGCAGCAAACAGTGCCATTTTCAATCAATAAACTAAAAGACACTGGGGGTGGGGCAGGGAGCCAATGCTTAGTGCTTATTTGCCATCCCTGCTGTGGTCCTCACTCGTCCTACTTTTGGGCCACACTTGAAAACTTCATCCCCCATCATCTGTAGTTGATGC